ATTAATTTTGTTTTTTTAAAAAAAAGCAATTCCTGCAGCCCTCAATCTTGACAAAATAGAGCGAGACACGGGGGTAGATAAAAAATAGAAGGGAAACAAAGTTGATTGCAAACTTTATTTCTGTTACATTTGAAAAAAATAATTTTCAAACGATAAAACTTTTTTCTCTTGCTCCACTCCTCCCCGCCGTCGATTCCTTTTACTTCATTTTCTTCTTTTCTACTTTTGGAAACACAAAAGAACGACACAATTTAGTCGGTGAAATTTATTTGGAATGAGCAAAAGAGAGAAAAAAAAGGCAAGAAGCTCAGTTTATGAACTCAATGAACTTACATAATCTACCTAAAACTTCCATCTGCATTGAGGTAGATCGCTTTACCGCAGTTTTAACTCAATTTATGTTTGTATGGCTTGTTGGTATATCAAAGTACATTAAAAGCACTTAAGCTCAACGATATTTCATTTTCACACTAATATTTTACGTTTTGTCGCAATAAAACTTTTCAATGTTTGTTTCCTTTTCTGTTTTCCTGTAAAAGTAGAAGGGAAGAAGGGAATTGTAAGAAAATGGGAGACGAGGAACATAAAGTACATTTTTCTGTGTGTTGCGGATGAAGTAAGGCTTTACATTCAAGTCTTTAAACAAAATCAAATGACTTATATAGGAATAATAAAATTCTTTATGTCTACTTTCATGTGTAATGATTTTGTGGCTGTGTATGACTGTAAATGTATGTAAATCCTAAGAGGATTTAGGAGTAAAATTTGTTAATTAAGGCAAAGCGTTTTGTAAGGAAATTTATGAATATTTTGTTATGCTTGTACAGCATTAAAATCTGTGATTAATTGTTTTATTATTAAATCTCTGCTTCTTATTCAATTACTTGGAACAAATTATTTTTGTCTGTTGTTTCTGATTTTTTGTGGGTGCTTGGTATCCGCAAGATTTTTTTAAAAGAGGAGATGGCATTAATTTTTGGTTTCAAACTGATTAAAATGATGGAAGTTCGATATTTTACGGATTAAATTATCAGTTCAGCAATCTTGATTTTAAATTCTTTTTAAATGGCTTGGTTTCCAAATGAAATCATGATTTGGCTAGTCCTGGCTGCTCTCTATAATTTATTATAGAAATTAGGTTCAAACCTAGAGTTACAATTATAAATGGGATCCTTAGATGACATTTCTGCCTGGAGACTACAAAGGAAGAATGTGAGCCTCATTTCCAATACAAATGATTCGAATAAGGACAAGGGAAAATTTTAACATATCGAGTCTCAAACCTATGATTGCTGTGGTCGATGATCCCTTCACCGAGTCACTTTAGCTCACATGTGTAGCTTATAGCCTTCTTAAATAGACCAGAATCAGAAATGTTATCAAAGGATATGCAGTTCACTATAAATAGAACCTCTAAGTTTATTACGCTCATTCAGAGATTGCCTCCTTATAATTTTAAACATAAAGGAATACAAATCGGAGTCTTAAGCTGCTTGACAGACTAGAAATGCAAATTTATGCCAAACATAAATTATAATTGAACTCTTACAGGCACAACTTCAATTCTGTAATTGGAAAGCAACAAATTTTGATAGTAATTTAAACCTTATTAGGGATCGTTCACTTATGACGTCCGAAAATAACGGTCAGTTTTCAAAAGAGAACAAGGGATTTCCAGGAATTTCTATTATTCTTTTCTTGCTGACCCCCCCCCATGGACGTCATAAGTGAACGGCCCCTTAGACATACAAGCTTCTTGAGAGTGTTCATTAGTAAAATGTATAATCATCCTGAGATGGAAGGTTTTGAGTTTCTCGCATCAATTTCAAAGAAACTTGAAACCAAAGAATCAAGAATCTTATTTGAGGTTTGTTAAAAGAAGCTTCATTTCATCAAAATGTAGTTTTGGTGAAGGTAAAGTTTTGATGATGTGAGCGTATGATTTAAAGATTGTTATGCTTCCATCTTGATATTCTGATATTAAGACAGCCTTGACTCATTAAAATATAAACTTTAACTTCAATTCAGATTGCTTCTTGTTTTGTTGGAACTTTTGAAACAATAATTATAGCTAAAAAAGGTCGAATATACACTCTGGTGGGAATCTTAGGGTACAGAAATATTTTGCTACCTTTAAAAAATTATTTTTAAACTTTTTCCAGATATGAATAATAATTTCCTTCTACGAAAAAAATCAGCAAACTGATTGCCGTGAAGCACAAAACTTTGCTGAAACGAGAAAATTTTCTTAAATTGTAGCTGAAATCGTCGTCGTCAAGAGTAAAGTTTCGACTATAAACTACGATTTTTTTTTTGTGTTGTTGATTCCATTGTTGGAATTCTTTTTTTTTTTGAAGATAATCCTCTCAAGTGGAAATTTCGTTCAGCAGTCAAAAAATTTACTGCGCAAAAATTTTTCTTTGTAAATTCCTTCAATAGCTTCTATTTTTAACAAAAAATGCTGAAGGCTCGAAGAGTAAGAGAATCAGAGAAATAAGACACGATTGCATGTATTTTGCACAATGCAGAAATTGAAAGGCGAAGTAGAAATGGCAACTTGATGATGAATATTTAGAGCGCATTTGTTGTTGTAATAGGAGCTTAATATCAGGAAGCAACTTCCCACTCCCCTGGTTACAATTCTGGATGACAGAAGATCACCAAGATTGTTGTACGGTTGTCTGACGATAGGTTGAAAATTATAATGAGAGGGGGGATTTATTCTCTAATGACGTCAAGCAGGAAAAGGGTTTTAAATGCTGTTATATCTCAATACAAGAATATTTTTTTTAATTCTTTAACATTGTACTAGGAGCGATTAAGCTTAGCATCAAAAATGATACCTAAATAGCACAAGTCTATTAATGTCTATAATGTCAAACATGATGGTTGATCCTTTATAAATAAGACTATATTAAAAACTATAGACACCAATTCAAGGACAGTAAGCGAGTCAAACTAAGAATATCAGCAGCTAGCTGCAATTTTCTGACTAAAGCATGCAAAATACGCCAAAAATACGATTCCAAGGAGGAGGTGAGGGCAGTGAAAGGAAGAACTTTTCCTTGCATTGCTTTATTGTCTGATAAAATAAAATGTAAAAAATATAAAATAATATAAATTTTACTACAATATATAAACACACACAGCGCAGTGAGTGTGGAAAAATTTATCTTTAAGTGAAACTTTTCACTTTATCATGCAACATAAAAATGTTGTACATGACAAAGCACATCTTTTTCATGCTTATGATTTATGCAATCAATTCCTCAAAATCAACGAACGTTCATCAGGTGGCGGTATAGTAATTTCGAAGAGAAATATTTTGCCATAAAATAAAAACTATATGATGCTCCTCATTTCTTTTACCCCATACGTGCATACATATGTAGATGTATTATATTCCGAATGTATTCCATATGATTTATCTCGAAAGGTGTACTATATGGCGAATTTTTTATTGCATTCTAAATGATTCATATCGTAAAATTTATATAAAGAAATTTTTTTTTTCATTCCTTTCCTTTCTTTTTCTTCCTTCCTGAAGTTAAATGAGAGAATGAACATATGAAAATGACATAATTCATGCTCATATTAAGCTACATCATCTGGGTCTTAGCTCTATATAGAAAAATAATATAGAATTTTCGTTCGCTTTTAGCTAGATTTTCAAAATAAATACTTATGTCTAGTTTGTTAAGTCGAATGGCTGATTAACTTCATGTTATATAGAGGCATGTCTATGGGCTGGTCAGGTCAGATGTTTCTGCTAATTATCAGTTCCGCACCCTTGGTCGACATATTTCATTTCAAGTGAGTCCTCGATCTGCATAAATATTTTAGAACATAAAAAAACTTATTCAAGATATTTAAATCGAGGACCCCCTGCATTACATAATGTGTTTTCGATTTAACAAGGATTCGTAAAATTACATCCTATAATTAGTAAACAATTCCAAAATTTGTCTATGCCACAATAACAAATATTTATTAATATGACAAGTTCTTAGAATCATTTAATTAAATTGTTTTGGTTTTACTGCTTCTGCACTTGTGAATTATCTTCATCAAATTTATATGAACTTCTACAATATTCAGCATCCAACTTTGTATGGTTTGTACTTCAAATAAGGATGTCAGTCCTGAATCCTAAAACGCATTCGATATTTTTAAAAATCTTTGAACTAAGGGGTCGTTCACTTATGACGTCCATCAAAAAACCTTATTTTTAGACCCCCTCCCCCTCTGTCACAAAAATTCTGTAGAATAAAAATTTCCATTGTTTGAACTGTCACAAAATCTTAGACCCCCCTCCCCCCTAAATGTCGGACGTCATAAGTGAACGGCCGCTAATCAAATTAGATGTAAATCTAGTGATAGAGAATCAGTTTATAGGACCTGACGCTTTTAATGAATGCTTAACTTAAATATGAAAGTGAATCTATATCAAGTTATAACACAGATAAGCTTTAATTGATAGATATTGACAACACTTTACATAATGATTGAAAGATCGGTCTCTGGTGGGAATCGAACTCACATCCTCACAAAAGAGGATTTCAGATATCCGTTTGTTGTTTAACCACTCGCGCCACAAAATCTTAACTCTCGCACTGGGAGATTCGCTTATTTATCACTCGTTATCTACATGTGGCTCAGTAAGACCAACATTATCTACTTTTTCAAATACATTAAGTGTCTAACCTTTGTATAAACAGAACTAATAATATAAAAATGCCAACCATTGCTTCTCACACCAGAAACTTTTATTGCCACAACAAATTCCAGAATACACCATAAACAATTATCAGTAATGAATTTTTAACTTGCTTATAAGCATCATTCGTTTCTGGATTCACGATTATCAAGCACACGAGGTTGAGGACGAGGCGAATAAAAAAAAATTTAAGAAGAAAAACTTATTTTATTCAATTCTGTTCCTTTCATTCAAATTATTTTATTTTTCTTTCTTTTCTTTTCATATTTTTCATCGCACACAGAAGCAGAGCCTGAAAAGAAAGGAAGTAGTGAAAGCAGTGTAATTACAAGAAACACAACTTCAGATGGAGTGTTTGAAGGAAGACAAGCTGGAGGAAGTTATATTAAGGGAGATCCACTCAACGGTTATTACGATTTCGTAATTACGGAAGGCTCATACAAATTTTGGGTGGTATTTCAGGTAACGAGCATCATAAAATGGAAGATTGTATAATCCACTTGAGTGAACCTTTTCATGAATTGAAAAGCGAAGGCAGGAAGTAAATTTCGTACTGCTGTAGTTTCGTTGTTAAGAGAGAACTTGCCTTTTTTGCATAAATATCGCTAAAGTAAAACAACATTTTGCTCGAATTTTAAAGAACATGAAAATATATGAGCATCGGTATGCGAGTGCTTGTTGGAGCGGCAAAAGAGACAACATAAAAAATATATTTTTTTTTTTTGAGGAAATAAAAAATATTTTCAACCTTAAAGTTTGAGCTTAGCAAACTTCCAAACTAGAAACTGCAGCACGGAAAAAATTTATTTCCATCTAGATGAATTTTGAAACTATTAAAATTTTGTTGATTGCATGAGAAAAGTATTTTCCTGTTCAATAACTCGTTCTGATAGGAAAGTAGGAAAATTATTCGATGCTTTTTGATTTTTAGCGCATTTTTCAAAACCTTAAAGGTGGTTATTTTTCAAAAAAACTTCTGTCGCTATTTTTTTGAATTTATTTTGACTATTATTTTTCAAAAAAATCAAAACCGTTATTTTTCAAAATAATTTTGACCGTTATTTTTCAAAAATTTTTAAATATTTAAAAAGGAATTCAAGACAAAATCCACTTTAATTGGACACACAATTGATAATTAAGCATTTCCTTAAACATCTGTCAGATTACTCTATCATATTGCACTTGACCCCTGTTCACCCTCCTTACTTTCATCTATTAAAAGACTTCAAAAAATCATCTGACATTAATTTAGCACAAAAACTACTGAGCTATTATTAATCTTACTTCTCTTTCATCTCCCATTTTTTGTTCAGCTTTTCACAGCTGGTCTTCTGATTTATTCAACACTAGCCGCAATTTATTATTCAAAAGTTAATCCCCTTACGAGCGATTACGATTATGTTGATTATCTGAGTCGATCATTTCATGGACGATCAATGGACTCTGCAGATGTCGATGATGATGCTGACGATACGTCGACAGCCTCAAGCGGAATAAGAGAATCAGCGAGAACATATTTATCATCACTAGAGCACAACAAATGGGTACGAACCGCAGCTTATGGTTTTCAGTTTGCTATGGATGCAATCGATCGCATTCCAAAATGAATTCATGAGCAGCAATAATAACAATAAAATGATGATGAATACGTAAAATACTTGATGATTTTATCAATTTATGAAATATTGAATAAAAATTTATTAAAATAATAAAAAATTGAAGCTTCAGTTTATTATCATCTTTCATTCTTTCAACTAATAAGCATATATGCTGGATGTAAATACATAAATAAACATCCATTGCATCAGGGAGGTAGTAAGGGGGGTGCTCGACATATTTTCTTAAATAATTTTAATTTTTTTTATTCATATTTTAGTCCAGAGAAGATTTGGAGTCTCTTGAACCACCCTAGCTACGCTCATCCATTGCATTTTACATATCCATTCACATCCAGCATGAAATTTCATCGTGAACAGCGAGTAATAAAAAAATTATTGAATTTCTTCTCAGATTTATGTCATAAAATGCTGAAAATAAAATTATTCGATAAAAAAAAAAATACAGTCATGCATTTCTCGTTCCTTCATTTTCTGATCATCATGAATAAAAATGAGTTTCCAGGGATTGAAATATAAAACATTTCATTCAATGCTATTTGATTTCATTGTGAATTGAGTTCTTGGAAATTTATTGTTTGCTGCATGGAGCGAAGAAGATTAGCATGCTGAAAAGAACTTTATAGAATGACTTCTTTTTTGTGTAAACATTCATGCATGCTTTTAAGCGAATTTCTTTTTTTGAATATTACAAAGAAATGTTTAATGTCTTGAAAGCTTCATAAATGAAACGTTTAGCAAATAATTTTGAATTCTGAAGATACAATGGGAGTTGTTGAAATTCTAAAGATACGAGTCTAGGGTATTGTTGAGAAATAACGAATATGATAAAGCCTTTTTTGAAGCTTTTTAATTTTTAACAGCTTTGTGACATTACATAATTATCAGACTTAATCGTGAATATGGTTTCTTACTTCGGTACCTAATTATTCAAAAAACGTCTGATTTCTCAGTGCTGTTAGTAGACGCTTGGTGCTCAGTTCCATATAACTCAAAATTTAAATCTCAGCTATGTTAATACAATAAAAAAACAGAGAATTTTTCACTTAATACAGCAGCAGTTACAGTCAATTGAAAGATTTTCATAGAAATTCAATTCCACTTAATAGAATTACATTCAAGAAGATAAGCTTTAATTTCACATCATCCCATTTCTGACTGGTTTCACCAAAAATAACAAAAAATTGGGGATAAAAAAAAAACTTTTTTATCCTTGATATTTTGTATCAGAGCTCTGCAGAATTGGTGACTTGATGGTCTATGAATTGATGTCAGAGTTTGATTTTAGAATTTTTTTTGTTTGTGCTTAGCATGGGTGTAGCAAAGATCGCTCCTACTCCTTCCTGACTTCATTCATTTTGATTAGTCAACAAAATTGCTGTTGATTCGCAACTCACCCTAGCTATGACATGCACAAGGAGAGGTGGGATGATTAGAGTTGAAATGCTAGGGTTTGTCATCCCCTCATCCTTCTAGAGTTCTGTCCATACCATTTTGACTTTGACCTTGTCATCGTTAACTGAGCTGCACACAACTGTTTTAAGCAACACTGCTCCCAACAATCCAACCCTGCTGTGCAAAACCTAACTCTCAAAACTTTCCAATCGATTTGCATAAATTTTGAAAAGCGATTTAAGAGAAACAAAAAAAAATAAATAAGTTGATAAGCCATAAAAACAAAATTATTTATCCTGCATATATTTACAATCCTCTGCAATTCATTTACAATCCTATTTAATGGTTTACGTATAAATATAAATAACGAGCAAAAAAAAGTATTGAATAGGAAACGAAAAGAACGAGAGGAACATGCATGCATATATGATTGGAAGCCAATAAAATATCAAATGTAAAAAGTTGTTAAATTGAATTGCTGAAAAGGATTTTCGTATAATAAAAATAAGAGTTCGTAGTAATTTATGCAATTAAGCTGTAGATTAAAATATTTTTCAGGATGAATTGAAATGTTATTTTAATTTTATTACTTTACTTTTTGACAGCATGAACAAAAAATTATTTTTCTTTTGGGGTCGTTCACTTATGACGTCCAAAATTAATGGTCGTTTTTCAAAAAATAACAATGGAATTCCAGGAATTTCTTTTGTTCTTTTCTTGCTGACCCCCCCTCTGGACGTCATAAGCGAACGGCCCCTTTTCATTATATTTTGTATTTTTATTATACATTAAATTGAATACCGAGAAAGCGTCTTAATTTTCCATCATGACAATGTCTCATTCATAATTCATATTTTCTATTAATGATACAACAAAAGTTCATATTGTGTGAGCATGTATATGGTGCGGCGGTTGAATAAAACATCCATATTTTATTTGCGATGATGACGAAAAATGGAAACAATGGAAAAAGGAGAAACTGGCAAGGAAGATGATTGAAATGAAGTATGTTAAGGTGGATAGCGCATTGTTTACTGGAGTTGAAAAGCATCACTTTTGACTGTTTTGTATCCTAAAGTGTCAAGAGTGGCGATCAGAAATCTAGCCATTAAATTTGAATCCCCACTAATACTATCAAAAAACTTTCCAAAAATAAGCATTGAATTTGTTTGTTAAAATTGCCTTAATTATAATATCTCACTTTGTTTAGAATATGATTAAAAGCTTGATCAAGCTTTAGTCATTACAATTTGATTTTCTGGAGCCATTTTAAGCCTGATTGACAGCGTGTGTATCTAATATGTATTTTCGACTTTTTTTATAAATTTTAAATTCTAAAATGTCGTTAATTTCATCACGTGTTCTCTTCAATAATAAATCTGCAAAAAAAAGATTAATAGAACAAATGTTTTTAAATGTATGGAATTAAAACGTCTTTTTTTTTTATTTAATATCACATTTCATGGACTACATGTGTAAATTTGAAGCAGTAACAAACACAATTAAGCTAAAAAATCATTTTTGACTACTGCAATAGCCTTTAATGTTTCTACTCGTGGCACGGATTGTCGACGGTTCAGGATTGATTTAATTGAATTCTCTGTCTTTTCAAAACCTGGCATTTTATGCTTTTGTGGCTTTCCAGCCAAATATTTGTCGATATCCATTTCGATGGACACAAATTCTTTTTTCAAAAAAATCAAGAACTTATAAATTTGGTGTCGTTCGGCATCAAGAATACAATGTAGCTTATGGTGATAAGATTCTGCCCAATTTTGAGTTTTTGGATATCCATTAAAAAATTATCATAAATACTCCAAAACTTGGGATTATATCTAGGTTCAGCTCCTTCAACTCCTTGTTTGTAATTTGTGCAGAACCAAAAAGCTACTTGTTGTGCCTTTTGCGATAAAGTTGTATATAAGTCAGAAAAATACAGCATTATTTCGTCGGATGGTAGATAAGATAATGCCATTAAACAAGAAATTTCGAAATAGAAGGCGTGGTCGCGAAGAAAATCTTTATATAATTTGAGAGCTTTGACTCTTTTAATTATATTTTGATCCAAATGAAACAAACAGCCAGTATATTCACCACTAGGAAATGCTTTTTTAAATGACACTTGAATCGCCTTCTCAAAATCAAAAAGCGCATGTGAAAACCGTAGTTGTCTTCCCCGGTTTCTAGCGATTTCTTTTATCATACCCAAAGCTTTGTCATACAAGGTAATTGATTTTCCAGACATCAAAACAAAAAGCATTGGATATGAAACATAACGATCTTGAGGCAAATTTCCATGAATTATGAGGAGTTGATAGAAAAGCTTAGGACATGTCTTGAACGTTCCGTCAACGAGCCAAATTTCACTGTCACAAAGAAAGTTAAAAAAACGTGATGTAGAAAAAATTGAAATCCTATCGGAACCATCACTTTTGCACCAATCGCCAAGAACCAAATACTCGTTATTTAGGGAACAAAAAACTCGGTCATAGTCAAAATCTAGCGATTCGGGTTCAGTTGGTGTGTTTGCACTATTTTTGACTCTAGCACGTTGCACTCGCTGAATAAGTGCTTGTCTTGAAGGTAAACTTGGATTGATGTAGCGATTTTCGGGATCAGCAAGAAATTCGTTTAAAATTTGGCATGGTCGTGAACTATCTACAATTGCTCTTTCCCGTAGATGACTTAGAGAAATATTTGTTGCATCCTTTATTGGCTTGACGATATGATCATGCGGCACTTTTGGTGGATAGACAGATCGGACTCCATTTTCTGACATAACAACCTTTAATCTTGATTTGGAGCCTATATCCTTATTTGAACATTTGTAGTAGCTCGTTGAGCTCCTGGTTTTGTCGTGATGGAAAATATATTGATCAAATGATAATTTTTCATTTCCACTGGATGTTGTAATAAATTTTACGCTGTGCTGTTGAAATAAGATAAAAAGAATGTAAAAATGAATTTTATAGAACTTAGTGATCAAATTCCTTTAGATACTTACTTCTTCATTATCTTCGTTACCAACATCCTCTGAATTAGATCACTTAATACCTCAAAAAGTTAAATAATTTTGATACTTTCTGGTGTAGATTTTTTTGCAGATTTATTATTGAAGAGAACACGTGATGAAATTAACGACATTTTAGAATTTAAAATTTATAAAAAAAGTCGAAAAAATAATTTACTTAAAAATGATATGGTCGTAAAAATGTGAGTTCGTAAAAATGAAGTTTCGAAATTTTAAAATTCGTTATTCTAATAGGCACTCATTTTTAAGGCGTGCGTTCAGAAATTCAAAATTTTGAAATTTAATGAGAAAATAAGAAACTTTTTAATTTCTGAACACAGAAATAAGTACCATATGCAAACTCTTGCTAAAATTCTTAATTTTTAAGACATAAATGTCCAAAAGACCATTGTATCTAAGGAAAGGAATTATAAAGAGCAGAAATCTGCAACCTTCACCTTTATGACGAAATGTGAGTTCGATTCCCGTCGCAAATCGATTTCTAAGTCATAGCATAGTAATCACATAATGTTTTGTCAATAGCAGTAGGGGCTGTTCATAAATGACGTCCTCAGCCACAAAATTTGTAATAAGAATTTTTTCAAGAATATTG